ATATATAAAGTTTTCACGACACCTAATGTTTACACCTTTATGCAAATAAACAGCCACTTCATATACTATAAACTGTCCAAGAAAAATATAGAAATGAGCTCATATACGAAAGTTCACAATGGGAGTTTAAAGCGTCAGGAGACATAAATATCTTTAAGTTATTTTTTTGAATGCTTTCAAAAGTCTCCTTACTTTCTACAGTTTCTCATAGACTTCGATTCAATGTTCCAGAATTAGTTGTCTAGAGGTTAACTGATTGCTCCCAAACTCAATAACATTGGCTGAAGCCTTTTAAATCCACTAGAACTTTGGAAGAGAGCAGTTTTTCAATATACCAAAACATTGTCATTTTTTTCGGCACAGGTGGTGTAAGTAGAGGATGGGGCAAGTGCATTATCCCATTCTCACCATATGATTGAAGCGTGTCGAGTTGTCCCACCTGGCAGTTATTGGCAAAATCACAGTTCTTGAAAATGATCGAAGAGATTATGGGATATGCTCATCCTGAAAAACTATATGCACTTTGCATAGCTAGTTTTGTGCAGAATCAGAGTAATGTGGAATCAAATCATGGAACTCAACATGAAATTATATATGTTTACATTATATAACTCTATAGTTTGAATCTATGGTAGTTGTACATTGGAGTCGACACCTAGCAGAATGTTTTGAGAAACAAGAGATCGTTAGTTGAAACCTTCAAAGTTGCGGAATCATTATATAAGAAAGGTGACTAAGTAACTTTACTCGCTAACTATTGAGCTTGGAATCCAAATAAGCATAACGAACGAAATTTGTATGAAGTTTAGAAAAAACCGTTGGTCTTATCATTATCTGGATATATTATATTTTTTGTCAATATTCCCATATAATTCAATATGTTTCGCCTTTTTTCTAACTTAGGCTTTAGACGCAAGGTACTACGTGCTACTTGGTCACAAATTTTGGCCAATTCATCAGTTAATGAAAAGTTGTTGTTAAGATTTAGGAAAAGCAGCTTGATACATAGAAATACCATTCATTGAGAATATAATAGTTTCTAGTTAGATAATTTCTATGTGGATAATAATAATTTCCAATGACTTAGCCCAAAGAATCAAATTTTCCGGCTTTGTTTCTGAAAAAATCGGGATCAAAAAACGTGTGATGAGCTAGATACCTACATACACTAACGACATACTATTTTTAAGCCCAATATGTATACCTTTTTGATTGGAGAAAGAGGATAATAGTGACTAAAAACTTTTTCCAGATTTATCAACTTTAAGATTTAGCGTAAAAGTGCAAATGGCAGTGTCTGCCAAATGAATTATGCTTTTAACATTTTGGGGCGTTTGCGATAACTATGTTGTTGAATGTTGACATTTGCTCAGCATTTGTTTTGGAGTAGTCTGGCACAAATTGCAGCGAAGCTGTTGAGAATAATCTCTTCAGAGAGTGTAAGAGGTTGTTGTCCCCTTTTTGTGAGGAAAATTAGTTATTTCGAAATGGAGATCGAGTTGATTCACGCATTCAACATTTTTAAACTTGTTGTGTGCACCTTTCCAAACCATTTTTAATTCTTTAGATGCAATAGTTTTCAGGTGTATATGGACTACTATCACCTGCTGCCCATCTACCACTTATTCCTCTCGTATTTCCGCCTCATATTGACGGAGAGTAATTCGGCAATGTTTGCATCAATGCTTCTCATTGTATTAGCTACGACTGAACGTCTGCTGCGAACATTTCATGGTGCAACGATTTTGAAGGCCCGGAAGTGAGTCCTAAATGTTCACTGGGGATTAAACATGAATGAATAACTCTGAAAAGCTATGTCATTATCTGCGCTACATAAACAGCAAATTACAGCACTGTTTCTGTTCATTTGCCGAAATACCAGTATCTACACTTTGAGAACAACGACTAGTCGAAAAGGACGTAACCATAAATGACATACATTAGATTTTATGAAGAGAATAGCACCGTCCGTACTGTTGGCT